CCTTCATTAAGGATCAGAACATGTATTTATCCAAATGAATACCGTCTCCTTGACAAACATCTGTTAAAGGCCGGTTGTGTTCCAGACAATAGATATATAAATGCATTGGGAATACAGAAAAAAAAAATACAATAAATGTCCTAATAGATAAGGGCCAGGTCTCACTAGGAGAGAATTATGTAATGATTATAATTAAGTGTAATTAATAAGTATGCAAGCAGACCTACAGGGACAGCCCTAGGAAGCAGGGAGCTGACCCAACTTCAACAACAACCGCATATGCTTGAAGCCTTTTCCCAACGGCAGGTTCAAACCCTACAGCAAATTATTCTAAGTGAAGTGTTGTTTGAAGTCAAGTCTGGTGAATGAATTAGGTCTCGCTCTGTCTGTCTCTCTCTCTCTCCCTGTCTCTCTGACACACACACACACACACACACACACACACACACACACAACCGTGATGACCGTTGTCCACGTTTCAGATCATCAATCCTTTCTTGTTACCTTCCTTCAACTGTTTTCAGAGAATTTGGAAAAAAATGACAGTGTACTGATTAAACTTTTAAAAATTGAATTGATTGTCCTTGCCACATTAAAAAAAAAATAGAGAAAAAGAGATGAAAGCTACAAGGATTTGCGAATTCTAGTCTTTATGATTCCGAAGAGGTCCTTTCATTGCAGGGTTTTAAGCCGACTCTAAATTGTAGCTTCTATAGAAAAACACAAGGAACACTCTAATCTCAACCGTGGAGTGCAATTATCAAGTTGCAACGGACTTACCAATATCCATGGGCCATTATCATGATCTACATAATTACCTTGTTCTTAAAATATGAACCATGTGTTCACGTTAGCCTTTTAAAAAAAAAATATGTGGATGGTTGAGTTACAATTCTTGCAGAGGTGTAATAAGCCTTAGTACTCCTAATAAAAACAGCCTCTTGTATTCAAACATTGTAATTATGCATTATGATAGTAGGATTAAATAAGTTAAGTAGGGCTGGGGAAGTACTTAGTCGGTGGAGGACTTGTTTAGCACGCGGAAGCCCTGTGTTTCAACCCTCAGTTCTGCATAAACCAGGTATGAAGGTGCACACCTTTAACCACACAGCTCAGGAGGAGAATCAAAGGCTGGGGATTTTCTTGGCTACATCGTGCATTCGAGGTCATTGTGGGACACATGTGACTGCCAGGAAAAAGAAAAGAGACTGGAAAAGAGAAAGGGGGAAAAGTTAGAGTGTTAATTATAAAAGCATTACATTTGACTATCCCACAATATATAACGGTGTGCTCAATGTACCAGACATAGCACAGGGCACTGGGTTTGAGTGTTATTCAGAAGTGGATCTTTCCCTAGAATAATTACTCTCAGGAATTTTGAGCTCTGTTTTAGTTAATGCTTTTAATAAAGTGCTCCATAACTTGGGCTATGGCTCGATTCTGACTTGAGAACACACTGAGAAGTCACGTCTTGACAGACAAGTGGTTTTGTGCGTGAGGCAAGTCCCGAGACAGAGCACACAGGCACCAGTGACATCAGGAGCATCCAGGTATAGTGTTCACGATTCCGTTTTCGGGGTGGCATCGGTGTCAAATCCAAAGAGAACAGGAAAGCAGAGACTTTTCCGCAGAGAAATGGCCCCATAAATTTAGCTCGTTGAAAAACAACTCTGAAAACAATGGAGGAAGTTAGTGCCTTCTGTGTTAGGAACCTTGTGAGGTACAGTGAAAACATTTCACTGGAGTTCCTACCGGGAGGAATAAAGACAAGAAAGCCACGGATCCATACACTTTATGTAGGTTAGTCAAGCCTTTATTCTCTCTCTCTTTAATGTGATGGTGTTTGAACCCTATAACTGACCTGCCATAGAGCTGAACTGGACCTTTATGGCAGTGAGAATGGCGGACAGGGAAGGCTGGGTACATTGTCAGGGACACAGCGGGGGAGCCATCGGGCCCGGTGTAAAATCATCTACTTTTATACTCCGATATAATAATAGTGTAAAGCAGTAGCCACAGGAAGGGCTGGATCTGTGAGAGTTTCCTGAGATGGGTGGAATAGAGCTAAGTTCCATAGAAGCAAGAGAGCAGGATCCAGAGTCCAGTGACCTCAGTGCAATTTTGGGTAACTGGAAGAACTGCTCAAAACATGAGAAACCGCCAGATGCGGTAGTCCATGCCTGTCAACAGCACTTGGGAGGCCGGGGCAGGACAAATAAGAAATATTAGTCTAGCCTAAGCAACACAGAGACCCTGTCTTAAAATAAAAAGCATGAGAGAATTTTTTTTAAAGAAAAATTAGACGTATCTATTTCATGTGTGTGTATGTGTTCGAATGTTACAGAACGTATGTGGAGGTCAGAGAACAGCTTGTGGATGTCAATTCTCTCCTACAACGTGGGCCTCGGGCATGGAACTTGGGTGGTCAAGCTTGGCACCAAATGCCTTTGCCTACTGAGCAATCACGGACTGTGAGATATTTCAATGTGTCTCTAGACACACAGAAGTATGTTATTTAAGGCTATCGGGAGGATTTGCTGAGGTCGTATACACAAATACACTTAGCAGAGGGCCCGGCCCAAGGGCTGTATCAATGTTAATAATGCTAAGGAATGCTTCTTATTGTTCACTCCTGGTTCTATGTTCAGCTGCCAGCCGAGAGAATGGTATTCCTGTTCTAATGTGAGACGGGGGAGGATGCTACAAGCGAAAGAAGGAAAGACTAGCGACTCACCTCCAGCAGCCGACTTTCAGGCCACGCAGGGCACACGGGAGAGGTACTTACAGAAGACGGTCTAGAAAGTGTGGACTAAAAAATCATCTCCAAAGATTGCTGAGGCGGCATGTGTGGACTGAAGGAGGAGTTCAAGAACCTCACCAAATAAGTCAAGGTCCCCGAGAGGGAGGAAGCGCGAAGTGTTTGGCTCTGTGTTCGGACTTCTGTGTTTTGTGGGCCTAGTTCCTGGGACAGAACAGGTGAAAATGGAGAAACACCAGGCAAAAGTAATTGGACAACATCATCATGCATTGAGCCCATGTCCTGCCTGCCTTTCCAGCAGCTGGGGTAGGGAAACAGTGATCTCCTGACTGTGAGCCTTGCTCCTAGCTCAGCTCCTCCTGGATTTCTAAGTCTTTATAGATTTGGCCTTGGCTGTTCTTAGCATCCATCTTGAATCACCAACTGAACCAGCCTCTGGGTCGTGGAGCTCTGTCCTCCTGGTAGGACACACCCCTGTTTCCCACAGTCAGAGAGCCTGTGATTACCTGCAGGAGACCCTCACAAGGCTGGGCTCAGTGATAATCCTTTGTGGAAGGGGAGAGGTTTACAGGCTTGTGAGACCCCCATCTCTCTCCCAAGATACATAATTGATTAAGTATTGATTCAGTTGATACAGTTGCTAGTGCGGGGGCTTCTAAAGAGTGTCACACTTTAAGGTTGGCAGTCTTCCTGTAGGTAACCCCTCACGCATGCTTCTATAAATAACACCCATTAAACTGCTCCATTCACCGAACTGGATTCGGTACCACAGGCCTCAGCCCTGTCTATCTGAGGTGAGTAGAAATCGCCTCCCCAGGAAACCTAGCCGCAGCATTAGCGCTTGCTGCTCTCACATCCCACGTCAGATCAGCTATGACCATGAATGGGGAAATAAATTTAAATACCTAGGGAACGATAAAAGATTGGACACGAGCTAGGAAAAAAGGGGCTTCAGAGAAAATCAATGAAGCAAAGTCTGTCTACATGTTGGCCATTGAGACGCACCCCAGAGTGTGTGGTGTGTGTGTGTGTGTGTGTGTGTGTGTGTGTGTGTGTGAGGGGAGGGGATGGGAGAGGGAGAGGAACTCCTGTGGGCTGGCCTTGACTTTTGAATTCTCTACCCAGGCTGGGACTACAGGTGTGTGTCACGCTGACTGGGGGCTCCGACCACTTTTAAATAGCATATCTCTTCAGACTTGTTCATGCCAATCGTGTCATTAAACCAGCTATCTACACCCGTACACTCAAAAATAGAGGTGAAATGTACACATGCCTTTGCCTTATATTTGCTATTGATGCACAATAACTACACACACACACACACACACACACACACACACACACACACACACGGGACATAATATGATGAATTGGTACCTGTAAACATTACACTAAGAATTAAATCATACTGATACTTTGTGGTGAAGACACTATTTTGAAGTATGCGATGCATCATTGTTAAGTAGCCGCTCCACAGTGCACCAGAATACTGAAGTCTATGCATCCTACCTTATTGAGTGTCCTTGCTTATTACCCATGACGCTTCTTGGCCGGCTCCCCTTCTATTGTGCATTCGGCCCTGAAACCTTGGCTCCTTTCCTTTCCGCTTCTGTGCTTATATCTGCTTGTGGAAGTGTTACTCAGATCTCTGTCCAAGAGAACACGCTCTATGAAGTGTTGCTGGCTAGCAACCTCTGACCGGCAGCTATCCTCCAGACCCACACGTTCACACTCAGGCTGTGCCCTCCCCACCCCACCTACTCTGTTCTCAGCATTGCCTGAATGCAGTGCAGAGGAGATTTCTGCCAGGCACAACGTTCCTCTAATGGGCAGCCTTTGCCAATCGCCCAGCCGAGACATTCCCAGAGTGCCACTGCAGCCTGAGCTCTTCCTACATCCTCCTCTCTTCTCCTCTCCCCTCCTTCCAGTTCCCTTCCCTCTCCTACCCCCTCTCATCCCCTTCCCTCTCTCCTCCCCTCCCCCACCCCGCCCCTCTGCTCTGCCCCCTCCTCTGTTCTGATCTGGTTCATGGTGTCCCTCCCTCCTCCTCTTGTTTTCATTTTTGCCTTCACTCACAATTTCTCCATAACTTTTTTTTACACATTTGATTTGGGTTTCATGCCGACTACTCGGAGGCTAAAAAACTGACACAGTAAGGAAACAGAAACAACAAAAGCAAGACCAAATAAAACAAAAAAAACACGGGAAAAATGAAAAGAGGCAGTAAAACTAGATGTGAAACCTGTTCATCAGATTCCACAGTGGAGAAGAGGTCCTTGGTATGAGGTTTGACACACTGTTGCTGACGATTTAACTTCTGGGAACTGAACATAAGAAGAAGAGAAGAGGAGAGGAGAGGAAAGGAGAGGAGAGGAGGAAAGAGGAGAGGAGAGGAGAGGAGGGGAGGGGAGGGGGGGGGAGGGGGAGGGGAGGGGAGGGGAGGGGAGGGGAGAAGAGGACAGGAGAGGACAGGACAGGAGAGGAAAGGAGAGGAGAGGACAGGAGAGGAGAGGAGAAGAAAGGAGGGGAGAGGAGAAGACAGGAGAGGAGAGAAGAAAAGAGGAGATGTAGAAGAATCTTGTTATACTGAGCTATTTGGATAGTGTGATGCAGAGTATTGGGGTTCAGTCTCAGCACCTACATGGTGACACACAACTCTCAGATGTCTTCTTCTGACTTCTGTATGCTCATGCTCCCGCACACATAGAGTACACATGAATGCACACACACATGTACACATATACACATAAAAAAGAAGATTAAATTTTCCTTTAGGGGTTATAGAGGTGGCTGAGTGGTTAAGTGTTTTTGCTGGTCTTCCAAAGGGCCCAAGTCTGGTACCCAGCACCCACATCCGGCAGCTTGGCAACCACCTGTAACTTCAGCACCTGTGAGCTGCCATGTGCGTGCTGGGATGCAATGCCCTTGTCTGTCCTCTGCGGGAACACATACACACATACACAAACATACACACACACACATTCGGCATACACTCACATGGACATATGCACATAAGTAAACAAGTAAGTAAAATATTTTTAAAAAAGGAATAACAAAATCAACTTATTTCAAAGTTCTTGCCTTTTTAAGATGGTTTGTGTATACACACGTGTTATACACCTGTGTACATGTGTATGGGCATGTTTGTACACATGCATGTGGAGCCCGGATGTTGATGTTGGGTGTCTTCCTTAAATATTTTCTGGCTTGTGTTTTGAGACAGGGTCTCTCGCTGATAATGGAACTCACTGACTTGACAAGACCGACTGGTCGGGAAGCTCCAGGAAGTCCCATCTCCACCTCTCCAAAGCTGGGGTTAGGAACACACGCTGCCACGACTCACTTTTCACAAGGCTGTGGTGGTCAAAGCTCCAGTCCTCATGCTTGTAGGGCCAATGCTTAACCTACTGAACAATCTCCTAAGCCCCCATTTTTATTTTTCAATGATTTATTTGTTTGTTTGTTTGTTTGCCTGTTTATTATGAGTAAGTCTACCACACACATGCTATCACTGGTCCTTGAGAAGGCTATAAATGGGCATTGGATCTCTTGGAATTGAATGGGAGGCAGGTGTGAGCTGCCATATGAATGCTGGGTACCAACCCCAGGTCCTCTGCAAGAGCAGCAAGTGTTCTTAACTGCTCAACCATCTCTCCACCTCCTATTTTTATTTTTATTTTGTTTTCGGTTCTGGGGACCAAACTCACGTTAGACAAGTGCCCTGCCTCTGAGTCATGTCCCCATTTTTACGTCAGAGTTCTACAAGGTTTTACAAAAGGATGGGAAAGAGAATCAGGTGAAGCAATAAGAAGCAAAGTGTGAGAGACAGAGAGAACCTATTTATCTTGAAGCATCTTTTGGGGCTGCAGGATTTACCCTGGTTGGAAGGACACTGCCGCCTTCTCCCTTGGGACTGGGTAAAATCAACTGTATTGTGTCTCCCATGTGCCCAGGGAAAGTGATGGACTATGGTGGAGGAAGGAAAACTCTGGAGCTCTTATGGCAGGTAGTAAAAAAAAAAAAAATCTAAAACAGATTCCTCACATAATGTCAGAGACCCCATTGAAGGCTTACATCCACTGCAAGGAAGAGACCATTCTGCAGGGCCATTTAGTAAGCACTGAGAGGGGCACCAGCAACCCAGTGGTGGCTCTCCTTATGGCTCAGGGATGATGCTGTCACAGAGCCAGAGGGGTGACAAACCGCCAGAATGACAGAGGTCAGGCAACTACGCTTAACACCCAAAACCGGGCCCATTACTGTAACGACCGAAAGATACAGAGATGGTTAATAGAATTTGGTGTCCCTAGAGAAGAAATAGAGGGCCAAGTACTGAGTGAATACATCATTTAACTCCTGGATCCGGGAACAAGCAGAAGGAGAGGACAAGGGGGCAAAGGTGGTTCCTCAAATAAAAGTGCATGTCTCATGGTTCGGTTTCTGCATCTGAGGAAACAGACCCAGAAGGCAATGACTGAGCAGTGGCCATGTCCAAAAGAGAAGACGCCTGCAATTCAGGGTATTAACAGTCACCAGTCCCAGGCTTGTACCAAAAGGGTGTTCGGGAATAACCATTCCGAGTGAGGGCATTTTGACAACTTCCTGAGCTAATATTGTTACCAGATATCCTATGATGCCCTTGTGGTCCCCTGGTAGGGTTGGGATTTGAACCTATGTTTTGTCTAAATCTTAGAGGATTCGCTACCCATGAGGCCAATCCATCCTTAGCGAGAAAAGGATTGACTCCCATGGCTTGACGGGTTTAGACCCTTAGCTAGTGCGGCAAGAGGAATCTCTCTGTGGAGGCCAAGAAACTGCCTCCGCAACTGTGACTTCCTGAGCAAGGACAGTGACTCAAAAATAAAATCCCATCCCAGAAATGATGTCAGCGACTGTGGAGGTTAGCTCATGCGTCAGCTTTGTTGGCTTGCAATGCCCAGATACTCAGTTAAATATTATTCTCGTATTTCTGCGAAGCCACTTTCATATGACTTATATTTTAAGCAGGGACCTTTTATTAAGGCAGACTGCCCAGCATAATGTGGGTGCCTCAACCAATCAGTTGAAGGCTTGAACAGAACAGAAAGCCCATCCCCCCCAGCCGGAGGAATGCTACCAGTAGACGCCGAACTTCCCCGCAATTTCTGCTCTCCTGGGTCACCAGCAGACTGCCTGTGCACTTGAACTAGCCTCTACCCCACCTTTCTCCTCATCCATGTTGGGCTTACTGAATTTCCATAGTCGTGTGAGTTAAAGGCAAAGCCTTAGAAGTTGTCTTCATCTCTGTCTCTCTGTGTTCTCCCCACTGCCACGTACATACCCCATGGTTTGCTTTTCTGGGAAACCCTAACTAATATGACCGTCATTAAAGACCTTAAGGGTGTCTGGATGACTATCCTATCCTGTCTCTGTTGAAGTCACCGACTTGTCGAATAGATTCCAGAGACGGACGGCGGATTCCTGCAAACTCCACCAAGAAAAGTAACTCCAGTCATAATTGTGCTGGGAATGAGAGTCATGGAAAAAATGTATCCGTTTGGTTTTCACCCTGCAATATTACACAGTGACTGGCTTGGTAATTACCTTATTTTTTACTCCAGGGGTGTGGGAGAGGTGAGAAAGAGAATGAGAGAGAAACAGGAAATCACATGCAATCACGTGGAATGGACAGCAACACCTACACAGCTTTGAACTCTGGGCCACACTAACTCTTTAAAAGTGCTTCCCCCCCCCCCCCAGTTTTTGCGTTTTTCTTTTTGTGTGCATATCTGGAGGTCAGAGGACAACTTCCGGGAGCTGGTTCTCTTCTTCCACCGTGTGGGTTCTGGGGATTGGACTTGGTTGTCAGTCTTGGCAGGAAGTGCACGTTCCTGCTCAGCCATCTCACACAGCCCTATGGTAAGTCTTTACTCAGTCAGACTATCGCTTGAAGATCCCTGTCATTCCATTGATGCTCTGAGAGTTCCAGGAAGGGGGATCTTAATGCTGGAGGCTGCGGGAAGCCACATACTTGTTGGGGGGTAAAACCCGCATAGATCCAGGACTAGCCACTTCAGTCAAATTTTTAGAAGTTCACTGACCAGGACCAGGCCAAGACGCCTTCAGAGTAAAAGAAAAATTGTCCCATCATGTACCTAATAGGAGGAACAGAGGGGCAGGAGACCTGGGGGATGTCTTTGTTCAGGAAACGACCCCATCACACTCAACACCGCTGCGGATGCAGCTTCTGCCCCCAGCACTGAGTAGAAACTGCAGAACAAGAACTCTGAGGGGCCAGGTTGCAGCCCAAACGCTACAACTATGGTAATGAGGAGGTTGGTAGTAGAAGCACAGCTGGACGCAAAGGAGTAGGCATGAAGTGCGACTATTTTCTTTTCTGTCTTTCATACTAATACCACCAGTCAGTATCTAATTTGGGAAGGCACACACACACACAAAAACCCAAACAGTCAAAATGATAGAACCTTGATGGTTTGCCAGCTGTCACCATTTCCCATGCCAAAACGGGTACAATGAGTACATACATGGCATGGCCGGATGACAAAGATGGCATCTTCCTGTGGGTCCTATATCCATGAGTTCCTATGTAAGTAGGCTCATCTCTGCCCACCTTTCAATGCTAGGAACTGGCATGGAGACCTGAGGACCTGAGAGGAGACATTCCCCAAAGGGACACAAAGTCAAGTGTTGCTACTAAGTTCTGTTCTGGAAGGGTTGGGAAATTATCCTACGGGGGGTAGATATTTATTCTAAGAGTGGATTTTTCCTCTGTGCATGCCCTTCCTCCAGGGCACGCTCTGTTTAAAGCAAGCTCTTGTTTAAAGCAAGCTCAGTTCATGGATGTGGCATTCATACATCGTGGCACTGGACCCAGTTCCCATTTGAAGGGAAGGGGATTTGAGAGAAGGCCCGTGACTGTGGGTTTCACTGGTCCCTCGCTATCCTAGAGAAACCAGCCTAAGAAAGGATTGGGATGGCTTTACTGAAGGACAACTGAAATGCCAGCTCAAAGGCAATGCTCTGAAGGGTGACATCGGTTAGGCTATTGCAAACACATGCGACCAGAGACCTCTACGTGACTCTAATTTTCCAAATGAAAGAAAAGATGGCTGTCGAAACCAAGAATGGAGTAGCTGTGCTTTACTCATGATATCTCCCAAGAACCTGTTAGGGGTCATTTTTGCTTCTTGTCCCCAGAACTCTGAGCCCAGGGAGAGTGAGGTCCTAATTCTCAAAGTACCATGATCGGGTCTGGTAACAAATGTTGCACTTAATTATGAATTACGGTTATGGTTGAGTATTTTGGGTTCTTTGGTTTCACTGA